ATTTTACACCAATAGGAGAGTCCTATGCAAGCTTGTTTGAGAAATTAAAGCAAAATGACATGATTGCACCTATTCCTCCAAATCATGTGGACCCACATGCAAGAAGCTTTGACCCATCTAAAAGGTGTGAATACCATTCCAATGCCTAGGATCACAATGTTGAAATCTGTCGGGATTTGAAAAGAGAAATAAAGATGATCCAGGAAAAATTGATTGTGATCCAAGACAGTGACACCCAGAATATTGCGCAGAATCCTTTACCTACACATGATGATGCACACTCTGTGGGGATGATGCGTGGTGACAGGGAGTATGAGAATCCTCTCGGAAATTTTCTAACTGAAGTTAATGATTTGAAATTGGAGAAGGCTCTGCTGATTCTGATGAGCAAATTTGTGGCTAAATGTCAAGCTTAGCAATTGAAAAGTCATTCTCTCCTCACTAGGAAGGAATATTGGTAGTTTGTTTTGATGTTTTTTCTATTATCTGGGTTATTTCAGGGTTGTGATCCAGATTTTATTTGTTTTATTGAGTCAAACCCTTATATCCCTCCATTCTGTTTGCGTGAGTCTTTTCTTTCTGTTCATTTGCTATTTTCATTAGCCGGGTTATTTAGGGTTGTAACTTGGATTTGATGTTGTTTGTCTTGTTGTTTACTCAATGAAATACAGTTTGTCCTTTTGTGTCATTCCATGCTTAGTTCTTTTCCCACTAGTTTTAATGACATGACATGCATGTGGAATTTTGGCCAGATCTTAGAAAATTGATTTAAGTTTGAATTGGACAACTGAGGAAAAGGCATTTTTGAGGATGAATAAAGAGTTGAAATACTTTGGAATTAAGGTCGAGTAACCTTCAAATCACTGTGAAGATCGGGCTTGAGGATGTTTAATCAATTGAAGTTTGTTAGAAATTTTGACATTAAGGGATGGAGAGTGTCTTGTGACCACGACACACCAAGACGACAGACATGTTCGTCAATGCTGTGACCGCGAAAGATACTATGTTTGGCGTTCTCGAGGCTGGGAGGCCCTCTTTTTGCTATCCAAACACTTTATATCCTTCGCTACCCCTTTTGAGCCTGTATTATTTTATTTGACTACCCTCTTTTGGAACCAAGTTTAGAGTCAAGAGTCAAAAAAAATATATATACAAAAAAAAGAAAAAGAAAAAGAAAAAAAAAAGAGAGAGAGAGAGAGAGAGAATCCACGTCCCAAGAGTACAAACTGGGGCAATTCTTAGGAAGTTCAAGTGAAAAAAAATGAATAACAAAAGAACTGGCAAAGGTCCATGCCACCCCCTCCCCCCCCAAAAAAAAGAAAAATAGAAGTTGGGGCGATTTGTTTTGAAAACAAAAAAAAGGAGAAAAAAATAGAAAGAATGATGAAAATTATAGTTAGGTCAGATGTTTGAACTACGTTTGACTTGATTCCTTAAAAAATAAGGATATGTAGGCAGCCTCACGGTTCGGTCCAACCAAATAAGAATTTAGAAAATAAAAAATAAAAAAATTCGAAAATCAAAATCCCAAATAGCTGAAACTAGGGCAAAGATTTTATTTCATTTTTAAAAGAGTCGATTCCAAAAGTTTTATGTATACAACCCCGTCATCTTTAGTCTGTTTTGAGCCTCATGTCGGCCTTTCGTCCAACCCTATCCAAAAACCTTCCAAATAAAGACCTCCCGATATGCCTTCAAGAATGCCAAGAGAAGCATGCAATGAGCAACGGTTGTCACGCGACATATAACACTGTCAGGATGCTCGTGCAAGAAAGCAAAAGAAAAAGAAAAATAGAGAAGAAAAATGAGAGAGTCTTACTAGTGAAAACCCTCACGGGCACTGTAAGGCGACGGTAAACAGAGATGAATAAATGAGAGAGACTTGTTGGTGAAAACTCCTCGGGGCACCACTAGTCGAAAATGAGTTATAAAGTTGGTGCGAAGAATTGGCATAAACAAGCCCAACTTCAAAGGTCATAAGAATAGTAAAAGGGAAGAGTGAATTAGTTTGATAGATCGGCCACTAAGTCCAAAATGCATGTCATGATCATTAAGCCTAGTTATTGAAAAAAAAATTCTTCCTTCTGTCCTTCCGACAGGGGCATTTCATGTTAATACTTGTTTCTTTGCATCATTCTGTCCTTCACTTTGAGTCAGTCCTTGTCAAATTAAGCACGAAAAGATTTCAAAATCTGCTATCAGCTTTTTAGTTGCATAAAGTAAATTTGGTCCGCACTCAATTGTTACTGTCAATATACTTTGAGAATTCATGCAAAGGCTTCCCTAAAAAGATACTCTTGTCAGCCTACTTGGTACAAACAAAGATGACTGGTGATTCTCTCTAACAGACAAATTACTCAAAAGTTGAAAGTCATTCAAGATATCAGAAAAGGTCACCTAAGCAAAGATCTCTAGTTGGGATGAGGCTGTTTGAACTGCAATACAAATGGTACTGGATGTGAAACAATCAGAGTTAGGGCAGAACAAAAGTCTCTTGAGACCAACTCAGGTTGATCGAGCAAAAGCCAAGTTATTCAAGACTCAAGGCCACAAACCGACCACCATTTTTAAAACTGATAAATTTTTCTTTGTGTGAAACAGAAAACAAAACAGGCAAGAAAAGTGGTTCAAAAAAAAAAAGACAGAAGAAAGAAAAAAAACAAAAACAAAAAAAAGAGAAGGAAAGGAAAAAAAAAAGCTGACAAAGGGAAGTTTCTCAATTTTTTTATTTGTTTTGCTATTGTGCATAAAATCTTGCCATTGATCTTCATATTTTTTCCTCCTAGGATAAAAAGTCCTAGTCTGGTGGATTTTCTTTCCGATCAAAATCTTAGTCTGATGAATTTTTCTCCTAAGATAAAAAAAACCTAGTGTGATGAACTTTCTCCTAGGATCAAAATCTTAGTCTGATGAATTTTTCTCCTAAGATAAAAAAAACCTAGTGTGATGAACTTTCTCCTAGGATCAAAATCTTAGTCTGATAAATTTTTCTCCTAAGATAAAAAAAAACCTAGTCTGATGAACTTTATCCTAGGATAAAATCTTAGTCTGATGAATCTTTCTCCTAAGATAACAAAAAGGGAACCTAGTCTGACAAATCTTCTCCTAGGATCGCAATCTTTGTTTGATGAATTTTTCTCCCAATATAGAAGACCTAGTCTGATGAACTTTCTCCTAGAATAGAAATCTTAGTCCGATGAATCTTTCTCCTAAGATACCAAAAAAGAAGTAGAAAAGAGACCTAGTCTGATGAACTTTCTCCTAAGATCAAAATCTTAGTCTGATGAATCTTTCTCCTAAGATAGAAAACCTAGTCCGATGAATTTTCTCCTAGGATAATAATTTTTAAAAAAAAGGGGAAGACTGAATTTGGAAAAAAAGAGGGGTCAATTTTTAGTTTTCTTAAGTTATCAATGTTTATTTTCTTAAAATTAGTGGCCCAGCCTGGAGAATAGGGTCAGTCTTAACTTTAGTCAAGCTTAGTTTATAGTTTTCCACAAGCTCAATCACATTTAGGAGATGCACATCCTAGTCGAGTCATTAATTTTACTCTCATCATTGCATTCATCATCAGCAGCGTAGGTGATTTATAATTTTGCTAACAACTCACAAATCTTCCTAGTGCAAACTGAGGCAGAAAAATTTCTTTTGTTTTGTCTGTTTTGTTGCAATCAGGCGTCCACCTGGAGAACAAGGGAGGACAATTCAAGTTCCAAGGAAAAGCAGTTTCATAAGAAAGCAGTTCAAGTTTCAAGGGAAAGCAGTTTCAAAGGAAAGCAGTTCAAGTACACCAATCAGGCGCCCACTTGGAGAACAAGGGAAAACGGTTCAAGTTTCGAAGGAAAACGGATCAAGTTCAGCAATCAGGCGCCCACCTGGAGAACAAGGGAAATCATTTCAAAATTCGATTCAAGTTAGAAGTAGCAGAAGCTCGCCTCCAAAATGCGGGTCGACAGGGGTCCGAGATAACAAAAAAGAAATCTCAATCAAGAATAAAAGAAAAAAAAAGTAAATCCAAAGTGCAGAAGCGGAGAAAAGATGTGGACTGCTCAAGACGTAATTAAAGTCACAAGCTCTGCATGTCCCGTCTTGATCTGAAAAAGCTGAAGAAGATTGAGCCAACACCTGCAACTAACAAGCATCAAGATTCAGATCAGAGTTCGTATGAAGAACCAACCAAGACTCAAGATCAAGCTTCAGAAGACTCATAGATAGGAATCTTGTAACTCGTAGTTGATAGGCTTAGTTAGTCTTTTTCATTTTTGATTTTTGACGTAATAACGGGATCGGGGACCGAAACCTCGACCGAATGGCACCTCGACCGGCTCTCCACCTCAATATACTCTATTACCTCATTCACTTCTGAACTACACGTGACCTGATTCCTTTATAGCCAAGGATATGTAGGCAGCTCAGATACCAGGGCTCGGTCACATTCTACTTTCTTTAGCTTTTGGTCTCTTTAACTAAGATTCGGGTCAAAAAATCTGTCTAGTCAATATTTGTCTGAAAACTCTTTGCGTTTCTAGTCAAAGAGGGGCAACTATAGACATGTGATTTTTGACCCTCCCCAAGATTTTTCATATTTTGGCACATAAATATTTAATTTAGGCCCAATATAGCTATTTTAATTAATTTTGACTCTTTTACTTTATTTTATTGCAAGAAAACGAAAATTACAAAAAAAAAAAAATTCATTAATGTTTTGTAGTCATTTTTAATCTTGAAAAATACCAAAAAAATAGTTTATTTTAACGGTCAATCTTATTTTAATAGTTTATTTTTTACTTAAGTAGGATTAATTAATAAATGAGATCGCGTTTTTTATCTCGTTCGCAGGGAAAGAATAAAACTTGGACTTGAGCAACCCATTTTTAGGCCTAAATTTAGACCTAACCCATAATTTTCAAGCTCATAATTCCTAAGCCCATACTCCTAACCTAATTTATACCCCTATATAATAGTACCTAATTCTAAAAGGGAGTTAAGAAAATCCGCCGTTGAAGATAGAAGGACCTCTCGTTGCCTCTTGCTTCTTCTTCATTTTTTTTTCACAGACCCCCTTTCTTCAAGGGAGAACAACAGTAGTTTCTCTGCTCATAACCAAAAATCAAGGACACCCCTACAACGAACGGCGCTCCTGGCTGCTCCATTCTTCATCTTCAAAACCAACAAACCCCTTTTTTTTCTTCCATTTCCATGAAGGCTCCAAAGAAATACGCACTCCCTCACTCACTGATACCACACACTTTCTGAAATTTAAAAAGAAAGGAGGAAAAGCTTTGAATTAAAATTTCGGATCAGCGATGCTAAGAACTTAACAAAAAGAGGATAGAAAACAAGGCTTCATCCCTGCTTGAAATTGCTGTCTTCTTCTTTCATATTTCTGGGTTTCAATAATGTGTGCTTGAAGCTTGTTGTGGCTCGCTGCTGAGTCTGCTAACCTCCACTTCTCTGGCCCTTTATTTGGCATCTTGTTTTCCTTTCTGATCGAATCCAGGTAAATGCCAAGTTCTCCCTTGTACTCGGATTTTATTGAATGATTAGAATTGTTGGTTTACTAACTGGGTGAATATTTGTTATAAAGCATGATATAATGAGGTGAGATGTTGGTTCAAAGTGTTGTAGATAATATCATTTAATCAATGCAGTATACTGTAGTTGGTCATGTAAGCTTAGGCTAAGTATATTGACCACACCTTATTAAAACTTTGTTATAACTGAATTCTACTTGTATGGTCGCTAAAAGTTCGATTGTCCAAACCTGGAATATTCGAAAGCTCAGAAGAAGTATGGTGTTGAATTCATAAGTCTTAAATGTGCTTAGCCTTGAAATTAAGTATCAAAAGTTGGCAAAGAATTGAAGCTCAGATACGTCTGTAAAAGGTCCTCTTTATTCTTAGCTCATCTTGTTACAATAGTTCAAAAAATATTGTGAACGGATCCCCTCTCTCTGTGGCATGCTTTCACATGTAATTCTATTTTGTTTAGCAATTGTTATGGTGTCATTGTATCATTGATGTTGATTTGTTAAAAAAGAGATTGATCAGATTTTGTTAGGCTGGCCATTAAAGCAATCTTTTGTACATTTGCTAATTGTTTCTCTCGATCATGAAGTTCGTCGGTTCCTTTACCATTTCTTAAATGCTTTGAAAATTAAATGTCTCCTTGTTAATAGATCTGGGTGTCAAGGATAATTGATGAAATCTCGGCCTACAACGATCTCAAACGTAGAATGATAATAATATGAATACTGTAGCTTACTTTAGGCGTAATTAATAATCAAAGATCGTGACTACGGGTACGGTTCCCGTGACATAGTCATGATACCTAATTTCCAAAATCAGGTGTGCATTTATGTGACCCAAATCCAAATCTCAACAACGTTAGATAAAATGTGTCGTGGACCGCGGGTGCATTTATGTGACGTGGTTCAAGACGTATTTTAGATGGCGTTGAATCTTCCTAAAATTAATTAAAAGCGGCTAATAAGTTAAAAAATATACCATAGGTTGAAACATGTTTTAAAATCAGATAATCAGCTAATTATGATACTTTAAGCGATCGTGCTAGAATCACGAAATCCGGGGGTGCCTAACACCTTCCCTCGAGTTAACAGAATTCCTTATTCAGAATTTCTGGTTCGCAGACTTCAAAAGGAAAGTCGAAATTTCTTCGATTTGGTATTTAAAATAAACCGGTGACTTGGAACACGAAGTAAAATATTCCAAGTGGCGACTCTGAATAAAATTGAATAAATAATCCCATTTCGAATAATGTCACTTAAAGTGGAAAAACTCCCTTGTACTACCTTAGGGTGTGTAAAAAGGAGGTGTGACAGCAGTCAGCTCTTGTCTTTGGCACATCCACTCCTTCAACATTCTTCTTTGTAGTTGCCAGAGGACTATCAGTGACTATGTCCCAAAGTTCATAGTCTTCTCCTATGATGTGATCTCTCATCCTGTTCTTCCACCAACAATAGTACTGACCATTAAAGAGTGGAGGCCTAGTAGTGGATTGCCCTTTCCAGTTTTCAGGTGATGCACTCATTTTGATCTTTTCCTAATGTGTTAGCCTCTTCAAGGATAACCTGCTCTGATACCTTGATGTTTTAAGCATCAATGCCACACAAGAGGGGGGTGATTTGTGTGGTACCCAATTTTCGCTTAACTGAACTATAGAAGAACCTGGTTCCTTTAGGTGTTCCAACTACTACTGTTTGCGGAATAATAAATACAGAAAATAAAGAACACAGAGATTTTTACGTGAAAAACACATGGCTTAAAAGGTGAAAAAACCACGACCTACTACTCAGTAGGATTTTCCAAAAATTCCACCAAAATCACTGAGCCAAAAAAATATTTACAAAAACTCTTTGTAAACCTAAGGATTAACTCTAATCCCGTTGTGGCACACAGCCTCAACAGTTGCGACAACTTCAAGTTAGCTATAACTTGAACACTCTAGGTACCTAATACAATTGCTTCTATGAAAGCTGAAAGGTACAATTTTAAACCACCTACTACAATTGAACTAGAATAAAAGATAGACACAATGGAATATGTTCTTCTATCTCGTTCAAGTAGCTTAAGGATTGCACGCTTGAATCACACATAAATTGTTCACAAAATCGCCTTGCTCTTTTGCTTTCAATTTACGTTTAACTTCTGCTTAAGTGCATTCCTATAAAAAAGAACAACACTGACATTTAATATTAGTAATCAGAGTTTGATTGGGACTCAATTGCTGCTCTTCTATCGTGGAAGAGTTCATGATGCTCTCAAACTCTAACACTATCTTCATCCTAGATTGTGTTCTCTTCATATAAGGAGACTTTCTCCCCTTATCTAGTATGCAACATTTTCGATCAGATCAGGAGATACTGCTGCTTGATCAGTAGGACTTATCTCCTTCACGTGCGTCTCACATGTATAGGTTGATCATAATTGTGCTTCACCAGATGCACCTGGTCCATGACTGAGTTCTTTTGTCAATCTTCAAAACATCAAATGTTCTTGGGCCAACACTGGGTATCCTGAGGATCTCTCGGTATCCTCAATATCTCCTAGGGATCTCTTGGTATCCCGAGGATCTCTCGGTATCCTCAATATCTCCTAGGGATCTCTTGGTATCCCGAGGATCTCTCGGTATCCTCAATATATGCTAGGGATATCTTGTTATCCCAAGGATCTCTTGGTATCCTCATGCCAGGGATCTCTTGGTATCCCGTACCTCAGTCCAATCATAAATATGCATAGGCGATCTCCCGGGATGCCGTCCCGTAGTTCCAAATTAAAACACACAACAACAACCCAAGAATACCCAATTAAGCTCAGTGTCGTATCAAGTAAACAGATAATTCTAATCTAACATGCTTCACATAATTCAATTAAGGCAATTTAAGCAAATAAATAGTTAAGTCAATTAGACATGCTCTTTCTAAGCTAACAACAGGTTCAAATTGCAAGTAAAATGAAACAGGAAAAGGAACACAATTGAAATTACTTAAAGAAAACTAGATTTTCAATAATTAGCTCAAGTACGCACTCGTCACCTCACGTACAAGGCATTTCAAATATCAGATATACCGAATCCTAAGGGGAAGGTCCCCCACACGAGGTTAGACAAGCCACTTACCTCGAACCGGCTCAAAATCACTCTGAAACCACGCTTTTGCCACAAGTACTCGACTCCAAATGACCCAAATCTATTCAATTCAATTTCATAATGTGAATAACACTTCAAGTAACTGATTCTACAATTAAATTTTAAGCTAATTAGTGAAATTAGGTAAAATGACCAAAACGCCCCTCGTGCCCATGTCTCGGAATTGGGTAAAATTTATATTTCTAGAACCCTTACACTCTCACGAGTTCAGTCATATCAAGAGTACCAAAATCGGACCTTAATATGTCCCTCAAATTATCACTCAAAGGTCTCCAATTAGACAAGCCCTAACCTCCCAATTACCACTGATTTTCCTTAATTTTTCATACTTAAATTGATAAAAATCATTCCAAAAATGATTTTGGGGACCAAAGACCTTATCCCAATGAACTCCTCTAAAAATCCCTCTTGAAAAGAGTGCCCCAAGCTTCTTCCTGTTTTGAAAAAGATGAAAAATAGCTAAATTTCGCGAAGACAAGAATTTATATGTTCTGCCCAGCGATTTCCGCATATGCGGTCCCGCTTTTGCGGACCAAAGGCCGCACATGCGACTTTTCACTTAATGTCTAGGTTCCACATCTGTGACTACCAATCCACAGATGCGGTACCGCTTCTGTGGAATCACCACAGCTTCTGCAGTTCCTGAAGAAACTCACATATTCCGCTTCTACAGCCGCTGAGCCACTTCTGCGGCGCCGTACCTGCGGAACCCAAACCGCAGGTGCGGTTATGACAGAACCAACAACTGAGGCTGGAACTCTAACTCCAAACTCTTTTCGTCAACCATCCAAATTCATCCCGAGGCCTCCGGGATCTCAACCAAAGGCACCAACAAGTCACAAACCACTATCCAAACTTGTACCAATCCTTAAAACACCTAAAACAACATCGAAACCTCGAATTAACCATGAATTTAAGCTTAAGAACTCCAAATTTCTCAAAAGATGCTTTCGATCAAAATGTCTATCAAATCTTGTCCGAATGACCTGAAATTTTGCACACAGGTCACATTCAACACTACAGAGCTACTCCAACTTCCGGAATTCCATTCTGACCCTTAGATCAAAATCTCACTATAAGACTGGAAACTTCAAAAATTCAACTTTCAGCATTTCAAGCCTAAATTAGTTACGGACCTCCAAAACACAATCCAAACATGCCTCTAAGCCCGAAATCACCTAATAGAGCTAACAGAACTATCAGATTTCCATTTCGAGGCAGTCTTCACACTGTTCTGACTACGGTCAACTTTCCAACACTTAAGCTCTCATTTAGGGACTAAGTGTCCCAAAACTCCCCGAAACTCAAAACCGAACATCCCGGCAAATCAAAATAGCAGAAATAAACTCGGGGAAAACAGTTAATAGGGGATCAGGGTGTAAATTCTAAGACGACCGACCGGGTCATCACAATCTTGCAGTCAGTATATGATGCTAAATGTTTTCATTGTAAGAAGAAAGAGCATTGGAAGAGAAACTGCAGGGAGTATCTTGCAACTCTAAAGGACAAGAAACAAGGTGAGACATTAATGTAAAATGTTTTCAAGGTTTCTTTAGCTACTACTAATTCTTCAATGTGGGTATTAGATACTGGCAGTGGTTATAACATTTGTAATATGTTGCAAAGGTTAAAAAATAAGTAGGAGGTTAAAGAAAGGAGAAGTTAGTCTACAAGTTGGAAATGGTGCAAAAGTTGTGGTCGTAGTTGTATAATCAATTTCATTAATAATCCCTACGGGCAAAGTACTTATGTTGGATGATTGTTATTACGTTCCTAAATTTGTTTCGAATATAATTTCAGCTTCTATGTTAGACAAACGTGGTTTTCGCATTA